TGAGACTGTGGAATCCCGTTTCAAAACTGCACATGCCTCTTTTGGGGCTGTTGCATACCATGCATCTAAAACACTGCCTGAATGGCAACGCGATAATGAGATGTTGAGTTGTGGTAGTAGCCAGGCTTGTTATTAACAGCGTATATGCTTGCGCATTTACTTGTATTTATGTTTAAAAATAGTTCTCCGTTATTACACGTAAACAGGCGTAAGAATGTACATAAACGATCCCTATGTACATAATGACAGTACACGCAGATTGAGGGGGTCTGGGCAGTGGCAGCCAGACGTGCTGGAGTGGGCAGAAAACGACCTCTTGCTTGACAGAGTCGTCGACCTTGCCAGTGGCGAGGTGGACGCTGTGTTGCATGTGCTTGAGTTGTGCTTGAAGTTTGATCATTGTTTGGGACATCATCATGTTACCTGGGTGTGTTGACCAGCCGTAGAAATGGCTGTAGAAATGCCGCTTTCTTTATTTACACATGTTTACGCAGAAAATATGGACGTTAAATCGTGTTCTGAACGTAGATTACAAGCCTGATAGTATTGACGCAACACTGGATACATACTTTGCTACCAATGCACATTATTACGAGTATCAAATTGTCCGAAAACAAGTATTGCTGGCATTGCTACTATCCAGCATTTCACAGCGCCTAATGGACCAGTATAAATTGAGTTGTCAACGAGCTTGTTTTTCAATATCATGCATGCTATGAAATGCATATGCATGTATGGGCTAGGGCACGGGTGAATGTGCATTCAAAAAGCACAGATGTGGCATTGGTTTCGTCAAATTTTCTTGAACCTGTTCTTGAAATTCCCACAGGAATTGCGAGTGGAGAGGGCATACCGGCACCCTCGATGGGTGGGGGATGTCCATGGTGGATACGATGTGGCAATACTTCAATTGCCACGGCCAGTGGACATGCTGATGCCCATAATGGCCAGCAAAAGCTTTGATTTGTATCCCAACACAAAGATCCACGGACTGATGTTTGAAGAAGCACTGGAGATGGAGCAGTTTGATGTTGTGACTCCAAACTTATGTCCAATGATGAAGGACCTGGGCCCAGCCATGTTCTGCGCATATTCAGAAGCAGCAAGCATGCAGCCTGGTGTGGATGAAAGCTTGGATTATTCCTTGTTTTGTAGTCTTTGTCCTGCCAGAAATGCTCAGATGTATTCCCTGTCCTATCAGCATGTTCATAAATCCATGAAACCCATTGTTTGATGTCTGGCAGGAACAACATTACGAGAGCTGGATCTCAAATTGGTTAGAACTACACCATGGAATCTTGTACCTTGAAAACTCCGCATGCCAGGCGTAAATGCAATCTTTTCCATTATGATGAATGCAATGCAGTGGGTGCTGGCATTTGATTTGACATCATTCAAATACAGCAACACAAGGAAGTGCATTAAAGTCATCCATGCAGTTCCAATATAAAGACGATTCTGGTAAGACTGGCACAAGAGTAATGCAGCATAACAGAAGCTCCTTATTATATGCCCATTGGACTGTTTAACCCTGCTGCCATTTATCAGGTTCTTCAGGAGGACCGCTTTTCATCCCCAATGCTGCCCTGGGTCCGAATGGCGATGATTTGGTCAGAAAAGGTCAACCTCCAGACGCTGACCTTCTGGTGGGTGTCGTGAGCTGCTCCAACCATGCGTCGCTTCAAGAAAGCGCCGTTGGGTGCACTGCAATCAGTGTCGTTCGCCCCTGGATTGATAGCATTATATCTCCCAAGGTGAGGACTAAGTGATCTATCAAGCCCAGGCTGTACACATTCTCGCTTCAGCTGCTCCCTGTGCCACTCAATTGCGAGGTTGTGAATGCCAAAATCTCGAAAGGTTGTGAATGCCAAAATCTCGAACAGTCAGTTATTAAGGTTTGCTGCATCAACGCGTTCTCCCTGCAACCTTGTAATTTGATCCACGTTCTGCATTTCTGGACTGGTATCTCTGCATTCTGGGTTTGGACTTAAGCCTCCCATGGATTGACATGTGAGCCGATGGAGCGCTGTTTGAAGATCGCCATGCGGACACCTTTAACGGATCCTTCCGATTGTCTCCGTACTACTCTGCAGGAAGAAGTCATCAACGAATCCAGCATGACACTGGCAGTTATGGTTTCTGTGCTTGTCTTGATGGTAAGATGATGGGAGGCAGGCTTGATTTTTATGGCACGAACACAGTATGTGTTCTTGCATTTACACGAAAGTAATGTTCAAGGTCTTGCATGTTCAAAGACGTGCAAAGTATATAAATACAGACCATGTGCAATATAGACTCATGCAGACTGGGGAGTCTGGGGAATGGTGGCCAAACTCGCTGCAGTGGGCTGAAAACCACCCTTGGTTTGACGACGTCGTTGGTCTTGCTGAGGCGAGGTGGACGCTGTGTTGCGGCTGCTCGAGGAAACAGAGAACCGATCATTTTCTTGCGGCTTCATCATGTAGCCTGGGCGTCTCAACGCGCCATGAAAATACGTAAGCAAGCCGCAACAAAACCGTTTCTGGGTTTATGCTTATCTGCGCATAAAAAAGTAAACACAAATGACAAGCCCGATGGGGAAGCCAGCATGTTTCTGCAGACCTTCTACAAGTTTGCGGGAGCGCCAGGTGCATGGCAGCCAACGGGGCAGCAGGAGAATGCCGATGAGCTCGCAGTTTGATTGTTGCATTATTGCTGCCTGAGCATGCACATTGCTTGCAGCGCTGAAGCACTGGAACAGTCAGGCATTTCTTCTGAGCAATTTTCTTGGTATCTGCACAGGCAGTCGCCATCCTTGGACCTCGGGAAACACCTGTCCCCTACAAGGTGGATTTGCGCATCCATTAATAAAACGCCACGTGTAATTGTAGTCGTTGCTTATCCATATGTTAATCCTGGCTTTCTGCTGCGCAGTTCAGCAGACATTGAAGGTGAATTAGCGTGCGGGTTGGTTTTCAGCAAGCCAATGCACGATATAAGGGTTATTCATTTTTCCGTTTGCCTCTTTGGAGAAACCTATCGTCATACTACTTGCCTGCATTATTGCCACAGAGTGCTGGGTAGAATACCTGCCAGCATGAATTTCAGATGGAGGGAAAGTGGCTTTGCAACGTGTAGTTACTTTGCATGTTTATTTCATCTTAATGTATCTACGTGTGTGCATTGACGTATCAATACGGGGTATTTCTGCCTTGATGTTCTATGATGGAGTAGTTTACTTCTCACAGTCTCCACGGTACATAAAGAGCGATATGAGCGATATGCTTGGTAAGTGTTAGCAAACTTGGCGGCAATTCTGCTTGATTAGAGAGTAGCGCGTTCTGTCCATCTGAGCTTTTATAACAACGCTATGCAAAGATACCTGTTGCAAGTTGGCCAAGTATTTGATAACAGTACTCCATGGCAAATTCAACAGCGCATTGGTGGAGCATTACCTCATGGGAGATCAAATCGACACAATGTGTTCATGGGACATTGGCGCATATGCTTCGAATGGGGATCTTGCATTGGCCAAAAGGCCTTGCTTTCAGCCTAAATGGCTTTTCCTTCGCAACGCTTGCCGCAAAGCTCCCTACATAGAAATGGTGCGACTCCACTACTGATGTCAGCCAGATTATATTATCTTTTGCATGAATTCAAATAACGGTTTTGCACATTTCTGTAGCGTAAAGTTTGCTGAAGGGAAATTCGAGGGAACATGCAATGCATGCGACGATATGTACGTCGATTCTTTATGCAGATGATGATTTGTTGCTCACGGCTATCTGTCGGCTTTCCTTTGCATCACTCAGGACTTGGCAGTCGCCTGCATATGCATACTTATATTATGCACCGGGGCAGCTGTGGTCTGGAATCAGCTTGGAAAGGTGAGTCTGATAGGCTATTCAAGCAGCACAGCAAATAACAACAGTTGATTATTAGCATTGCTGCTTGTGAGAGCATATGTATCAGTGTTGCCCTTCTGCATTGCATGAAGCTCGATACAAATGCAGCCACAGTATTCAGTACAAAACTGCAAATTGTGTTGGACCAAATGGGCTTGAGGCACAAGTAAAATTCAGCCAAGAACGCGGTTCTGAAAATCGTGTACCATGTTATGCGCGTAAAAATCGTGTAAGAGTCGTGTACCAATCGAGTGATGATCACAAAGTACACGGCTGCAGGTAGTCCACGACTAAAATCGTGGAGAACCGCGTTCTTTATCTTGTTGTCCACAGCGGCAAGGTGGGCCACTTTCGTGTATTACAGTAGCCCAGAAACTACAAGGTTTTAACAATCGTATAAAATCGTGCCCCAAAGTACCCGATTTTTACACTACTTTAACACAATTGCACACGATTGAACACCATGTAAAATAGTCGAACTTTTACAAGTGAGAGGCGATTGAAATCAGCACTGAGTCAAGCATGGCTACCAGTACGAACTCGTTTTGTATGAGGAAGCGCAGTTTTAGATGCACAATTCGTTTCTTCACTAATAAAGTGGTTTGACCTGGTTTGATTTATTGAGAACTGAAGGCACTGCATTACAGTGCTCACTGATTGTCCTGAATCACTATTCAGCAATGCCGAGACTCCCTTGAATTGAGATTTTGAGCTGGTAAATATCGTACACGTATATCTGTGCCCCAGGTGCTTCTTCCACCCGAGTTTCTAAGTGGGATAGTGCATGCCTGCACATCCCTGGTTGGACGTGTGGATGCTCTTCTTCCACCATACCTGCAGTCGGTGGCTCTGCAGTGGGCGACAGATGGAGGACAGCAGCAAGATTTTGGTTTGGTGAGGGAAGAACAAACGACTTTGATGTTTCTGTTGACGTGTCCGAACTTTTAATGTGTCTTCAATTGTTTTCAAACTCCCAGATGCCTTGTTATTGCTGTTGGGAACACAAGGACTCAAAATTGGTGACGCTTATTCCCAATCTGAGCACTGTAGATATAAGATAATCTGTTGTTGCTGTTTACCTTGTACACCGCCGCTGCTAACCTGGTTCTTGTTTCTATGCAGGGCGGGGCCACCATTGTTATGGCTGTCATGGTAATCTCGTCATATGCCGTGTCAATTTTCATGAGCAGAGCAATGGGCATGGTGAGTCGGCTGAAGTTTTCCCTGCCTTAGTGGCTTCTGTATGCTGTTCTTCTCTGCAGTGCGTTTCGTCAACCAAACTCCCATAATATGATTTACAAGGACTATTTGGGCAATTCCAGAGGCTGTAAACGCTGGAAGCCATCATTTGATTTTGTCCACATTTGCATCCAGTTGTGTTCGATGTTCGGCGTTTAAACTGTGGATATTTAAGATTCATGGAAAAATAAGTAAAATCTTGCAAAATTTTATCCTTTCTGATGTGGGCCTACGCAGAACCCTATGCACTGTCAATTTGCCATTGTGATAGGTAAGCACTGCATGCAGGCCACTAGTGCAGACAATAATAAAAGTTGTAACAGTTTATTCCATTTTGGTGAAAATTGATGTTTCTGGGTTTCTCTTTTTCTTCAATGCACAGAAGGGCAAGGCTGTCAGCATTGATCAGTTGCATGAAATTGGCAATGTGCCATATTTGCATGAGCACTACGTCTCCAGAGGCAAGGTTGAGGAGATCATCCAAGGCTGGCTGACACAGGCACCAGCAGATGGAGTTCATCCAAGAGTGTTCATTGAAGGCATGGCAGGGATTGGCAAAACAGCATTGGCAATGTTTGCTGTCAAGAGCACTGTGGGGCATTTTTGGAGTGGCACCTTCTGGCTGCAGGCCAAGTCGTCTAGTGCACGCACTGTTCTCTCATATTTTGAGGAGCTCCATAAGCGAATGTCAGATCTGTTCGTTCCCAGTCTCTCTGTCTCGCAAAAAGGACAGGCTACATGGAGACTTGATGAGTTTGTGGTGTCAATCAATGGTATGCTGGAAAGGAGGACTTGCCTCGTGGTTCTTGATGGGGTGCAGAGTCCAGAGGTGGTGGAAGTCATGCTGCAGCTCAAATGCACTCTGCTCATCACTACTCAAGTGAGAAGCATGCTCAGCAATCAGACACAGTTCAAGCATGCTGATGTGGCACCTATGGATATTGACAATTCTCACAAGCTGTTTCTGAAACTGGTGCCAAATGGGGTGCAACAAGAGGGAGTGGAAAAGGTACTGGAGTCATGTGGAGGGCACCCCCTGGCATTGTCCATTGTAGGAACACTGTTCCAGGATGCAATGACGCCAGCGAGAGTGGGGAAGGAAGCTGATGTTGGCCATCTGGTGACAAAATTACAGGATCCACGCTGCAGGCTGCAGATGCACATCAAATCTGAGACCATTCTGCACATTCCAGATGTGGAGAAGCATTCAACAGTCATGAGATGCTTCGATTTTTCACTTGATGCCCTGAACAAGCATGAAAGGGAGATGTATGTGTTGCTGGCAGCTCTGCCGCCCAGATCGCAGGCCACCACTCATCAGCTGGGTGCCATTTGGCACCTGCAGGACGACCAGGCACTGTGTTTGGCAAAGAAGCTTGAGCGGTATTGCTTTCTTCAGAAATATGTACCCAGTGACGACCCCAATGTGACTTCAAACCAGTGGGGCATGCATGTGCTTCAGCACGACTACATCAAAGTGCTAAGGGAGGCAATGCTACACAATGTGCAGCAGTGATGAAGGCTCCAGCTCCTGGATGATGACACGAAATATGATCCTGGTTGTTGCAACTTACTGAGGACCTGGAACAAGAAGTGGCATTCTGTCCTGAGCACAGTCTTGTTGAGAGCAAAGTGGATGCTTTACATTTGCCTTCACACAGTAGTGATGGAATAGTTGCAATCTGGTAACTGGAGTTTAGCTATTCAAGATGGATGTCAAACAACCAGAAGCTTGACCAGTTGGCAAAAGACAGGTAACTCAGTAGTGAAAGCACCCATAGGACCAACATTTCTCAGGGCTGAAAAACACAATGTATCAAGCCTATAAATGGATCTGCAGAGAATCCTTTGGCACTACGTTTTTGGGCTTGGAACTGAGCTTCAATCACCTCAGAAACTTGGATAAGGTTTCTTTAGTTCACTGGCTAAAGAAGAGAACAAGATATAAGCTGGTGAATTTGCAGCAGGACCCCAATAACGTGCAAGAATGTTGCAGAGAGCTGTAACTATGTTTGTGATGGACTTGATGACCATGATGATTTAGTCAACTGTTGTGATGTGGTGGAATTAAAATAACTTCTTTTGACAGTATAGGAGAACTTACTTTGTCTTGCGATGGTGCATGGGCAGTGTTTTGGATGGAGGTGTGTGGGCAGTTTTCTGGATTAAGGCCAATGGGCAGTGTTTGGGATGAAGGTGCTCGGGCAATGAAAAATACTGGGCTATGGGTGGCAGCAAAGGAAATGCCATTTCTTTTGATTTGCATATTGTTGACACATAAGTCGAAAGCTGTCAACATTGTCACGTGGTCGTACACAGGCCTTGCTTGTGTTTTATGATCTAGAGATGTGGCAGCCTGATATGCTGTAAAAAGCATGAGCATGTGATGTAATAAGTTAACTCCCGCTGGCACAAAAGTCTGCTTTGGAGATGTTCCATCCACTGGTGGCTCTCTGAGCACCGTTTTCAGTGCATTGCTTCTGAGTAAATACCACTATTGCATCAATATATTGATGGCCACGAAATATGCATCGGCGATTTCCACAGCAAATGTGAATTGAGTGCCATCTGCAGCACGAAAGCTGTTGTGGGCGTTCTTGTATACTTGACAAACAAATGTAGAGCAGCAATGGTTGCCCCAATCGTATTGATTAAAAACAAGGACGGCATTGTAACGTTTCAAAATAGGAAGTTTTGCTAGATCCTTAACTTGTGGTAAGGACATCATCAGTTTTGACACTGTACTTTTTGTTGTCGGTGCATGAAACATGCTTCTAGGCAGCAGTATTCCTTACCATTATTTTAACAAAATAAGCAAAAAAACACGTCCTGGTATGTTCCGTGCACGTGCAACTTCTGTGTCAACATGCACCACGTTTTAACAGGATCACACTAGGGATTCTGCAATCTGTGCTCCACAGATGAACTTGCTAAGGAAGGAACATATGGTTTGTGTAAATTTATCCTGGCCTGGTGCATTTCGCGTGTCTTGGCCTGATGCTCCAAAATCCACATATGTAGCTGTGAGGGGGATGAATATATGGCAGATAATTATAAGGTGAATGGTGTTCAATACGTTGTGATTAGGCATTGTGAACACGGTGATAAAATCATGGTGAATATGGGAATGGTGGGTGATTAAATGGGGACATTTCCTGTGGACACTATTTGGTTGATGTAGTTTTCTGTAATCATTTGCTTGTGGCCTCGCTTCCTATGCCTAAGAAGCGACTGTGTGCGAGAGCGCGTGAGGGCGTTTGTTTAGCCCAACATGGCTTCGGAGCTGGGGCCGGACCCTGGGGTTCCGGGTATCCGGGTGCAGCATAGGAAACGCTGTCATTTTGTTTGTCAATCCCTGGACACCGCCATACTTTTGGCGGTGCTTTAGGTGGTGGTGTTGTGGGAGGCGGCTGCGGACTAGAGGTACAACATGGAGGCCACGACCCTGGATTGGCACGGCTCATTCCGAGTGGCCGTGGCTGGATGGAGGGATCAAGAGTGGAGGCTTTGTGGATCGGTGCCCCAACAACCCAGCCACCCGTTAGCATGGATGCCGGGCCATGCATCCCTGACCCTGCTTGGAATGGGGGCCTCGACTCTTCTCTTTCCGCGCACAGTGGTCCACACAATGGTGCAGTGGAAGCAGCCACAGATTGTACGGTGGGGGGAGAGGCAGAGCGGCAATCGGAGGCACAAGGTGATGCGAGTCACACAACGGGTCAAACGGGTCAGACGGATGCCTTTTGGTGGGGCAGCGGCAGATCCGTTTCCGATTAAGATGCCATAGTGTGGCCCCAAAGAGGCTGGTGGGCAATGGCAGAACGCAAAGTTGGGGGCCCAGGAGGAGGAGCCTTGGCAGCCTGTGGGACCGGCGTGGCGTAGTGTGGTGCGGCCCACGTAGAAGACGATTGCTAGCGAGCGCGGGGGAGCCGATGCGGTGGAGTGGCGGCACTAATGCGGTTCGGAAGTGGGGTGGAACCCATGCAGCTCAGCGGAATGGCAAGCCCTACGTGACTCAATAGGCAAGGTGATGAGTGCCGTGAACCGCACATGGGGATGGCTCACTAGGATCTGGCGAGCAGCAAATGCAACAGGGCGGAATGATGGATCCCAGGCAGGCGGCAGCGGCTTCTCGACGTGGATGGCAGGTGGGCGCATGCGCGCATAGGTTGATGGAACGCAACCGGCATGGCAAGAATGGGGGGAAGTGGCCTCGGAAGCCGGGCAGAGGCAGGAGTTTGGGGAACAGGAAAATGCAGGCGCTAGGGGCAGTGCGGGCAATGGGAGGCTTGTCAAGGGTTAGATACCTGGGGCATGAGCGGGGGCGGGTTCCGCCCAGTCATGCTAGCTTTGGGTGGCAGCAAAGGGGGGTTGCGTGGGGGGCGCGATCAATCGTGCACCCCATTATAGCAATGGGTGTCACCAAACCCATTTTCGTCTTAGTGGGGTGGAGATCGGGGGGAGGGAGGAAAGAGGTGGAAGTCCTGCACACGCTATATGTGACAATAATTCACAAAAGGTGACCAGTATTGGGGTTGGAAGGGGTGGTAGTGCCGAGAAGGATCATGTGGGGTGTAACCAACCTGTTTTCTAGTCTGTAATGGGAATGGGGGGAGGGAGATGGGTGAGTTTGCACCAGTGACATACAAGCCGGTAACATAGTTTGGACGGCCAAAACAATGTCCAAAGGAATTAGTGGTATCAAGTGAGACTCAGTGCTCAGTAGTTCAACCATGGACAACAGCAAAAAGGACAATTGTGTGATTACCGAGCAACTATTGCTCATCAGCAGAATTGAGCCAAGCCCTGGACCTAATACCCCCTTATTGACCACGTTTGTCTTATGAAGCATCTCTTTGGATTTCCGATACAGCACGTTGGGAGGCCAAGGTGAGCAAATTTAGTGACCGCACCCGGGCTCTTTTGAAGCAATTCCGCCCAGGGTCGATGCCCCACCACTGCATTGCACGGCTTGCTATCTTGTTTAGTGCAAAATCAGGCAAAGGAACTATGGAGGACACCCGTTAGAATGGCCTGGTCAATGCCATTCCAGAGGTGCTCCTGAAAAATGCCTTATCCAGACAAGACTACCTTGCCCGCATATCTTGCAAGCCTCATGAGGCTTGGATTGATTCTGTTGATTGATACTTTTTTTTGCGGAGATGTGCAACACAATGTCCGAGCAAGTCAAAGTGTCTGAGTTACATTGCAAACTCCCTTGGAGTTGAAGCATCAGCTCAGTTATCTTCAGCATGATGTGACCTTAGACGGCTTGTCAGATACAACCCATAGTGTTTGCTATTGGGCCCATTGCGTTGGTGACAAGATAATCTTGCTTGACCCCATGGAGGTGGATGCACACATGCACCAGTCTTGTAGCACGATAGTATCTGAGGGGATAGGAGATGCCTTTCACATTGCCTATAGCTTGCAGCAGGGCAACGGTTGCTTCCAATGCGCCCTCCTTTGTGGCGACATCATCAATTTTAAGAATATAGATGGATATATAGTTTCATAGCCACGTGGAAAAAATTGGTGTTGACTTCCTCCTCTCTCTAGCATAAAGCAATTGAGTTGTTGTTGTGCAGGTGCCCACAACAAGGGTTTTGGGAGCTTGAGATGGCTTTGAGCAAGAGTTTTGCTCAATTCTATATAGGATTTGCCAATGGTGAGGACGACTATTGGCAGGATTCTTTTCATGATGAGGAAAGCTTGGACCGGATCCAAGATCGTTTTCCTAATAGTGAGGATGACTTCTGGGAGGACTCGTTTTATAACTGTGAGGCAGATTTTAATGAGGAGTGTCACCAGGTCTTGGCCCTTCCCGTGGCTTGTTGCGCTACACAGAAAAAGTCCCTCCATATTAAGGTCAATATAGAGGGCAAAGATATTCTTGCTTTTGTTATCATGGGTGCCACGTCTTCCTTTATTCAATGGACGTTGGTAAAAAAACTTAGCTTGTGGGGATCCATGGAGCCATGTGCTGATGGGGCCAAAGTCTATTTTGGGAGTAGAAACATCAAGCCTTTGGTCGGTGCTATTACTCTTCCTATCCAGGTTCAGGGCACCGATATGCCAAGGCATGCCTACATCCTCTAGGGTAAGGGGCCAGCCTTATTATAGGATTTATGTTCCTCAAGGCTAATTGCCTTTTCAGGGATTGTGATGTGAGGACCTTGATTATGAAGGATGGTGGAGGCAACATCAAATGTCTTCCCTTGCAAACCAACTCTGTTGAGATTGTTTTTCCTCTTGTTGGTGAGCACCCTCTATCTTGCTAGCTTGTCCATACTCCCCCTGAGGTTTTGCTCATTCAACATTTTCTAGTTGAGGGCTGTCTACCTCCGTGCCCTGAAAATAAATTTTGTGGGGATGGCGGGCATCTGACGGTTGGCGGTTGATATGGGTATTGCGTCTTATTTTCCCTATGGCACTTGATATCTCCTCAAGGAGAAATCTAGGTTGGCTCACCAATACAACATCTAGCTTCTGGGCAGCATAATCGACGGGAGTTAT